GACTGTTCTGCCAAGGCCGGGGGCCCAGACCAGCCATCTTCTGATCACAGGTTCTGAGACTTAGCCCACTGAGCCACCACCATATATTGGGCAGAAGTGACAATGGCACTTAGCACAGGGCTACAATTTAAGCAGCAACGCAGTAGAACAAACGCCTGTTCCTATCATTTATAATCACAAATAAGAAAATGTAGCATTCAGCAAACTGGCACAAAACGCTCCAACAGCCTGTTTACATGCTTTTTCTTTTATAATTGTAAAATTTACTTTAATTGAAGATGGAGGAGCCTGCAGATTTTTCTAAGTTGATGTGTTTTTTCTAACCCCATTGGCTGCTTGAAGGCATGAACTGCGCATAAATTTATGCACAAAAACTTGTTACGGAAAGGAGGCTTAGGAGAAGCATTTCATTATTTCGCCACTGTCTTGTGTGCGGCACTAACATTTAATGCATGCGTACAGATCAGATCTCCAATAAATAAAGTAGGTCATATTCGAGAGTAGCTTGCTTGAATTGATTGTTAATTAAAAGCAACTATTAGACATGAAAGTCCTTCCCAGACCTACAAAATATATATATAAATACAGCAGTGTTAAAGTAACAGATGGGCGTTCCGATTGGCAGGAGACGGAGCGGCCTGACCTGGATAATTGGATCTTTTCACACGATCAAATCTGCGGCATAACATTGTGCCTCGAGGAATCTTCCCCGTTCCCACTAAGGCTTCAGCTGATCCCACGTAGCCGAACCCTTAACCTGTGGTACAGGTGAATGTTTCCAAACTGTAACACCCAGCACTTAACCTGTTTACAGCGGAATGTGCTCCCAGCTCACTGCCAATACTGACTGAGGGCAGCACTTGCAAGGAATCCCATGACAATCGCACACCCAGTGTCAGTCATTTATAATCCCCCCCACCAGGACAACATGCTGCGGATGCTAATCATGTCCAAAAAGAAATTCATTTTTCATTTTGAGGGCTTCATTTTGGGCTAGCTGAATAAAGATGTGGCTGTCTCTTGAGGACTTATTTGGGTTATTGGTAATTAGCACTGGTGTGGGGGGGGGCATGCCTCTATTAATTACTTTTTAGGAATGCAGTATAATTACATGAAGGATTTAAATCAGGGTCTGGACGCAATGCTGACACTACAGCTGAGAGTAAAAGAGGGATTTTTTAAAAGGACAACAGGACATATAATATGCATTTATAAAATATATTAATTGTATATTGGCTGAAATTTTAAATCACTTGATGTAGATTATACACACACACAAAGTTTTGTAATTATATCTTTGTGGGGACTCTCCATTCATTTCTATGGGGAAAACTCAAATCCCAACATGATGACCTTAATCCAGGGGTGGGCAATCTTAACCGCAAAGGGCCGCTGTGTATGCGGGTGTATGAATAACTTTCACTTTAATGAAACCGAATGATTAATTTTCCAATGAATTCTTATACTAAAAAATATCATCATTTGGAATCTATAATATAGATTATTGGGATTCTCAAATAAAATTATATCAGGAGAACTAGGTTGTAATATGCAAGTAATTTTACAGAACAAATGTGTTTCAAATCATGAGGCAGTATAAAACTGTAGTACAAGGGAGATTCATGACTGCATAATGAATGGTTTTCATTTCCATTCATCCATTTGCCATTAACACTTAATCCAATGCAGTCTTACTGTACAGTTGAAATAAAAATTCTATGCAGCCCTGGTAAAATGGCAGTTTTTTATGTGATAAAAAGTGAAACCAAGTTAAATCATGTCAGGACTTATTCCACCTTATTTCAAAGATGCATTCTATACAAAGAAGGTGTAAACAAATCCGAAATTGTCTACGGTAAAAGATAAAATAAAACAAAAATCTGGCTGCATAATTGTGCACACCATTTAATCAAGGCTGTGGCCAGAATCTTAAACAGAAGTGGATATACACCTGTTATCAATGAAAGTGACTTTGATTGACCTCAGATAAAGTATGGCTGTTCCTGCAGGATTATTCTGGTATCCTCTTGGTTGCATCATACTCCAAAAGCCATGGTCTGCAAATAGCTTTCAAATCATTGAAAATAATCAATCAGGAGAGGAGTACAAAAAAGTATCCAAAGCATTAAACATCCCATGGAAGACAATGAAGACAGTCATCAACAAGTGGAGGAAATATGGCTCACAGTGACTCTACCAAGATCAGGACACCCGTCAAAGACTGATGAGAAGACAAAGAGAAAACCGGTTGTTGGAGGCGACCAAGAGGCCAACAGCAACATTAAACTGTAGGGTTTCCCGGCAAGTACTGCTTGTTCCGTACATGAGCAGTCGCTCATATTCATATGTCTGGGTTGTGGGGTTAGGGCACAAAGACAAAAGCCTTTACTCACAAAATAAAACATCCAAACCCGGCCAAAATTTGCCAAAAGGTATATCCACGTTCCAACCATGTGGAAAAAATGGATTATGATCTGATGAGACCAAAAATTTTATTTGGCCATAATTCCAAAAGGAATGTTTGGTGCAAAAATATCACTGGCCATCATCAAAAGAAAACCATAGCCACAGTGAAGCACGGTGAAGGCAGCATCGTGCTTTGGGGCTGCTTTTCTTCAGCTGGAACTGGGGCATTAATCAAGCTGGATGGAATCATGAACAGCTCCGAATATCAGTCTATTTTGGCACAAGGGCTTCAAACATCGTGAAGAGGAATTTCACCTGCATGGCAACGACCCAAAGCATGCATATAAATCAATGAAGCAATGGCTTCACCAAAAGAAGATCAATGTTCTGGAATGGTGCAGCCCAGAGCCCAGACCTTAATCCAACTGGAAATCTGTGGGTGGCCTGAAAAGGGCTGCCCTCGCAATCTGGAAAATTTTTGCACAGGTGAGTTGGCTAAAAATTGCCAAGTTTAGGTGTGCCAAAAAGACTGAGTGCTGTAGTAAAATCAGTAGGTGCTTCAACTGAGTAATAGTTGAGGGGTGTGCACACTAATGCAACCAGGATTTTGCATGATTTTTCCCCCTTTTTTTCACTGGACATTTTCTGGTTTGTTTTCACCTATGTATATGTTGCGATTTCGCAATAAAAGTGGAATAAGTTCTGATATGATTTGTCTTTTTTTTTTTTTTTAATCACTTTAAAACCGGCCATTTTGAAGACTTTTTATATCCACTGCAGGTCTGAGGCCCAGGAAACACAGGCCGTGAGGGAGGGGAGACCCCAGATGGGACCCCAGGCCATTATAGGATACAGACGACCAGGGACGTTCGTCAATTTAGCGACGACGGTTCACCTGACCCAATGGAAACTCCCCATACATTGCTGGATGTGGGAATGAAACCCTATAGCAGGGGTGTCAAACTCCATTCCTGGGGGGCCGGAGCCCTGTGTAGCTTAGCTCTTTCCCTGTTCCCACACAAATGAGCTGTGTGGTAATTAGCACAAGGAGTTGAATCAGGTGTGTTAAATGAGGGGAAACCCAAAAATGTGCAGGGCTTTGGCCCCCCAGGACTGGAGTCCGACACCCCTGCCCTATAGTGTGCTTCCACAGTAAAACTGACTACACCAATGTACCCCTCCCTCTTATTTATCTAGTTAATGGTATATTTACAATAATCAAGACTATTAAGACTGAGCACCAAGGTAAATTTCTCTTCTGGTCCTAGTTGCCACAGTATCAGTAGCTGGTATTAGGTCCGAGAATTTAAGACCTCAATTTAATTAAGTATTATACTAAATGAACCAATTTAGTCTACCCGTATTGGTAGATAATGCATAATTTTCTATACATTGTAGGGCTTGTTCCAAGTGTAAATCGTCATTGATTAGCAGGTGGTTGACAGATCCTGTCGGCATTTGAGATACTTTTGAATAGTGTACATTTCACTTTGTGGTCCTCCTTTTTCCACTACCGAGGCCTCATTTCCCTTGTGAGTTTGAGATACCTGTTCTCCACATTCATTAAACTACATAGCCAAAGGTGCCCGTTTGGATACGTTATCCTAGCATTGTGGCACAGCAACAACCCGTATAATATAGTACAATTTAACGTGAGCCCCCTGCTGGCGTAACTGAGAAGTTCACAAGTCAGTAGAAAGAACTGGCGGTGGTACCACAGACATCGCTAACAGCATCACAGGAAAAAAAATCAGGAAGCAAGATGTCAGTTATCTGCGCGCTCTGAGCTTCAGGCCAGTTTTGGCAAACCACCTTAAATACTGGTTTTTGCGTCAGTTGAGATCTTAACTGAAGATCGGCAGCTGGTATGAGGTTAAAAGATAAATTAAACTACATTATTCCAAATTCCAGATACTTGGAATTGCAGGTGTTAAACCAAACTTATAATGATCAAAAAGTACCTTTCGTATCTGAACATTGTTTCCACTGCATTTGTGGTGATAAATGTATTCCATTGTTTTGATCCTGGGTGAAGCATACTAAGATAATGTAAGTATATATTAATATTTGTGGACTTGGAAATAACGAAAATTTTAAGGGTAACAGAGAGGACATATGTTTATTGCAAGTATTCCATGTCCAGCACAAATTAGCTTTTAAATCCATGACATTACACTGGATAAGCAGCTTGGAAATGGTTGGATGGAGATAATACAGTATATGCATATGTGTATGTACAATTTGTATTCTTGTTCGTTTACACATATGATGTATTTAATACGATTACATGTCTGCAGACGTAATAAACATGGGTTTGTAACAGTGGGACATTTGTAATTTTTTTTGTATTTTTTCAGCATTGTGAGAAAGTCGAAGTCTTTAAGGGTCATACGTGCATGGTTGTGATGGGGCGGGTTATACATGTTCTGCATTGTAGGGATATAAGACGTATAACCTTATAACGTAACTAATTAGCCATCGTCGGTTCAGGCGCTGCATGTGATATTGGGGGAATACCAGTAAGTCTGTGTTCTGCAGAAATTACTACATGTAACCACGGCAGGGTGTATTAAATATCACAAACGAATCGCTAACTTTTGCAGGGGTAGGCGCCCCCTGCTCTGCCAAGTTGCTGGCAGTCATTTGTTGAGCACAAATCCGCGCTGGATGCCTGTCAGCGCGGAGCTTCTCGCCGTCGCTCCCTGCGCATCTCAGCCAGGCGTAGACTCACGCAGGCGGTATTTTTTGCGCACTAACATCCGTTTAGTCACTCTCTTTCGAGACATTAAGCAATGCAACGAAATGGAACATTTTCCCCCCTTTTTGCTTATCACTCAATGTCTTCTGACGAGCGTTAGACGCAAATAAAGCGAAGAGCTGGATAGGGGATATGACCAGGTTGCGCTAGGACGAGGAGGGAGCGACATAACCGGGCTTCCACTGATCAAGGTGGATCGATAGATGTTCTCACCTTCATCCCTGACGATCATGCTTTATTTTCAGCTGGTGATCATGGCGGGGACTGTCATGTTGGCGTATTACTTCGAGTACACGGACACGTTCAACGTGCACGTCCAGGGCTTTTTCTGCTATGACAGCTCGTACACGAAGCCCTACCTCGGACCGGAGGAGTCGAGCGCTGTGCCCCCAGCCCTCCTGTATGCGGTGGTCGCCGGGATTCCCACGCTGGTGGTGAGATCTCCTCTTGATGTATTGCATGCAATAAGGAGGGGGAGCGGGGGGGTGGGAAGCCCTTTGTGCAGCCTAATGGACTGATCGCAGGGAACCCAGAGGATAAAGAATCCAAGTTCGCGTTTCAGTAGCGCATTGTAAGCTTGCTAGAAGGATCAGTAAAACGATATTTGCCTCTGCCGACTATCAAACATTATATGTAAATTCCGGGTAAATTTCTTGAATTTTTAATGGCAGATTGTAAATATATTTTCTCAATACACACCACGGGAAACTTTACATAGCTTCCGTATAATACATTTCTTTTTATATAGTACTTAAACATTAGATTATAACTAAAATGTCATAATTGGCTAAAAAGACAACTAGTTTTTTTTTTTTTTTATCTTGTTTGATCATGTTTTGAGGTCTGGGACTTGATGTTCAGTTCCAAATGCCGTTAGTTTTAAGCTCCCCTGTGTGCTGAGTTAGTCGATGTCATTGGGGGAGACTGATGCGTTAATTGTTGTCAGAATAATTTTCACGTGGACATCAGGTGTGAAATTGTAAAGAATGTAAAGAAACGTGTTTTGTACATGAAAAGTGAAATAACTATAAGCTTCTGCAGATAGTCACAGCACATGGTTATAAAGTGTGTTATATGTAAGTACTGCCAAACTAAGCTACAGTATGCTGACATGATGTGGAAGATTGACTCTGACTGGATTAAAACCTTGGGTATTTTTTGTCCTAGTAACCAATACAGCATCTGTTTTTTATTACTGTCTTCTACTTGCGAAGGTAAAGGAAATCCATGCATCAATGCACTGCTTTACTACACCAACACTCACTCCACATTTGACACTAATTCGTGAACCTGAGATACATCACATCCACACAGTTGGACTAAAAATAATACCACCTTACTGTCTGAACACCCACATATAAAAATGCTCAACACATCCATTACATCGTTCAGTCCTGCATACCATGAAACAGATTAATAAGCTGTCTTTGTTTCAATCCCACAAGTAGCCTTTTGGAATGATCCCCCCCCCCACCCCTGTAATTGGAGAATTAATGGTTCACATTCAGATGTTTGTGACATTTGGCTTTTTCTGTTTGTTTAAATATAACTACAGGGTTCTGATCTTTTCTCAGTTCTCTAACAGTGTGACAGACTTTTTTGTAGTTTGCTGGTTCATATAAACTACCCCTGGCTGGTTTTTCAGAGTTGTTATGGAACCATCTTATGGAGCTGTGTTAGTCATCTCATTCCTGCCAGCGTAATACAGGCCAGTATAATAACCGGTAGGTTTTTTTTTTAAGTTTATAAAAAAGGTGGAAAGGACTAAAACACTGTAGCAAGTGCCAACAGCATCGATCTTGCAACACAAGACACCTTTTTGTCACATACATGGGTTTCAGAGTTGGTGTTTGTGAGTGTTTGCACTACAAAAAGGTCATATTATAAAATCAGTTGTGTAGATCTCCATCGCTAGGTATTAGAAGATAGCCAAAGTAATATCTGTAGGCATAGTATACTGTTGTGAAAAAGTATAGTATAGTGTAGTATATTTGTAACAAAAAGTGTATATAATGGAAACAAGAGTACTTTTGCTGTATTTTGATTAAGCCGTGGTGTCAGTTTAATTTGCGCATCAATGTATATCCATGTGGGACATATTAAACTTCCCTTGAATTGATCTTCTGATAAAATCAGTGTCATGATTTTAAATCTTCAGAATTCTTTTTAAAATGCTGCAAATTAAGGTGAGGTGAGAGGTGTCTTTAATGAACAGATTCCTTAAATTGAATTATATAGGGGTAGAGGAACAGATGCCACAGGAATGGAGATAATTAGATTAATAATACCACAATACTCAACAAGCACATCAACAAATATTTACAGCGTCATGCGACGTGAGTCAGTACAACGACAGCACCAGAAACATAAGGTCATCCATTTTGCAGCTGAGCACTGATACATGAAGGTATTAGTGGGATCCAGAAGTGTGAGACTCTGAGTGAAGCTTTGATGCCTCTCCGCTCGTCCTCTGAGTCCTGCTGTACACTTGGTTTTTGGCTAATTATCCTGCCTGTCCAACTGAAGCCTCCTTGTGTTCCTGTGAGCGGTACCAGCTAAAGCCGTACTGATTGCAAATATCATTTATGGATGAGGAAGTCTAGTTTGCTCAGTGTAATGACTGCATTACATGCCATTTGCTTAGCTGTCACTTTCATCTCCATTACTTAGATTACAGCATTCAATGTCTCGTCATTGTAAAAATAGGGGAAATGTAAAAGGTTTGATATTTTATGCAGCTGGATATTGTATGGGTGCAGGTTATGGAAGATACACCAGTAGTTGCCTTACAGGAGCATATTCCAGCAGTTACTATAAGTCTTGCTTCCTGAAATTACAGTCATTTTATATTAGTAATTGGCTGTTTCCGAGTGATTCAACATAATGTTCCTCATGAAATTAGAATCATAGCAGTGAATAATGGTCTGGAAGCTTCTGTTAGGAATCCGACATGATCATGATCAGGGACACACTTGTTAGGGAGCCTTAAAGTATTAAAAATTCTTCCATCCATCCATCTATCCATCCAACCATCCATCTATCATTTAAAAAAAATGTTCTCCAGCAAATTACTTATGAATATAAAAATATCAATTAAATTTTAAATTTAAAGTCATTTACTAATTAAAGTAAGGCCAGTTTTGCAGCCAATGTTATTTTAGCATCCGTAAGAGCTGTTATATGCGGAGAGTATTATTGGGCGTTAATTCTTATATTATTCTCTGATGGTCTCAGTTGTTTCCAAGTTCAACAGGAGTCCCAGCCCCCCAGAGCAGTGACCATGGTGAAATCCCTGACCAATCAATTAATTGACCATTTTCTATTTGCCATTCAATGTAGTTTTGACCCTGTTTGAGTGGCAAGGCAATTAGCATAGCAGTAAATGCAAGGTTTTAAGGGATACCAAAAATGTGGTGTGTTTAGCTGTGAAAAATGTCCTTTGCAAGGCGCCTGAGACAGACTTTAACTTTTTGAGGTTGTTGATTTCACTTTAGCACAGTGAGGCTAATATGCCACAGATGGGCACAGATCTATTAGCCGTTTTCTGCCGCATCTTAAAGCATAACATGGACTTGAATAGCTATTTTAGTCCTTTAAGTGAGTTTAGAGGCCTCAAGAAAATTGTACAAGTATAACTTATGCTTTTCAATCTCTGCTCTGTATTTTATGTGTTATTTTTTTATTGTTAAATGGCTTTTGTTCTAATCAAAGTTATTACGTTGTTTAAACTCACAGCAGTCACCGACTACAGATTCAGGGTTTCTGGTGAGTTCGGTACAGAAGCACATCAGTTTTGTTTGACTCCGGGTCATTCAGTCGTCCTTAACATGCAGCAGATGAGTGAGAGACACAGCTGTCAGTTTATTGTTACAGTCAAACAGATTCCTTCGGCGGCAGCTGAAAAGGTTGAAGGCGAACTGTCCGCTTCCTCTCATCGGGGTTGTGTCATCCGGCATATGTGGGGCAGGGTGGCATGATTGGTATTATCTTGTCTTGTGAATAATGCGGGGTTGGTCCTTGCAGCTAAATCCGGCTAGATTAGACAGCGGAACACTAACAGAAAACAGTCAGACATTGGGGTTCAGTCATAAATCAGAAGGTGACTAGACATAATTTATCGAAAAGGTTACTGGACTCGATTTATTAAGGGTTTCTTTTTCTTTTAATGTAAGTCATATTAACCTCCTGAAGACCCAGACAACATTCTGTCTGGTCGTTAGGAGTCAGTGTCGACTTGACGGCACCTAATGTTACCTTTCCATATCCACCAAAGCTATCGAGACTTTCGACATGAAACGGCATTACAGTTCATGTAAAAAAGATTTACAGAAAGTCAGAAAAGTTTAGTTTGAGCTCCCCTTCAAACTTCTTGATTGATACGATTATAGTTCAGTCATCCCATACACATCACATTGTAATGTTTCTGGTAGCTTAATTAGCCTTATTTAACTATGACGTGCAAAAACTGTAGCAAGCCAGCTAGTTTAACTCATGAGAGCATGTGTATTGATGTTTATGACCTTTCCTCAAAGGTCTGCTGACATTGTTAAATATCATGCTCACATATTATGGATCATCATATATCATTAAAATGTCTGATGTTCCTGGCAAGTCATGTGACCCTATGCCAAAATGGAAACTGGTCTAATTGCAACCAGATTGACACAATTGTTTACAATTGTTTACTTACAGAGCAACATGATCATTTTATCTACCCCATCCAACTACCACGAGTCTCAGAATGATCCAGCTACAGTCATAATTCTGGACTGAATTCCTCTTCATTTCATGCTTCATTTCTGTACTTAAATACAGAACGGCATCTGAACCAAGCAAAATCATTATTATCCAATCATTATGTTCCTTAACCTGTCATCCCAGAAAGCAGTTACATGAAAAGCTTAATAATAAATAAAATGTGTTATTCTGTGATCTTTTATGCAACGTGTTTTATTATGAAAAAGAATACTTTAGACAGACTCTACTCTCTGAGTATTTTTAACTCTCTTATGCCTACTTTTAAGCCTCAGAGTAACATTGTGCTAAATATATAATTTAGGGAGATTTACCCTTTTTAAACTTTGTTCTTTTCTGTTACCCTTGGAAATGTATTATATTATACTGCATGTATTTATGCCTTTTTAATTTAGGGTTTTTCACAAATTTACAGGTTATGATTTGTGCAATAAATGAAATGTCTTACAATGGCTGTTTTTTTTTATATATATATATACGACATGTGAACGCCTTTTAATTGCAATGCCTGATTTCTGCGTTTCTGTTTCTTGCAGATAACAGTAACAGAGTCTGTCATGTTCCTACTTCAGTACACTTCTAAAGACTTTGACACTAGGGAGAAGACTGTCGTCACAGGAGACTGTTGTTACCTTAACCCACTCGTACGACGGACTGTCCGATTTCTTGGTAACTCTCCCCAATCTCTTATTTTATGTTATTCATTCATTCATTCACTACTATCAAAAGTCCCCCCTTTTAATATGCTAATGATACCTAAGTTAGCCTTTCACCATCTCAATTTTTTTCTCTTCTTGTCCATTAACTTATTAAATGGGCTTGATCTGAAAAAGTATTCATTCTTTAAGCAAGAGAAAACAGTAACACTTTACTTGAGGTGTCACAAATACTGGTAACACTTTATTTGGATAGCCTACAGAGTATTTGTAGCATTTCAACAACTTAATTCAGATTTTAAAATTCAGCTCTTTCACTGTGTCTGTAGAATGTACAGTATAATAATAATCATCGATCCTTTATTAATCCCCATGGGGAAATTGTCTTTACGCCTCCCTCATTGTAGAGTAAGCTGTCCGCAAAGGGCAACCACCTGTTGGGACACCCAGGGAGCTGGGGGTTAAGGGCCTTTTTCAGGGACCTGCAGACGTGCTGAGGCTGGGTTTGAACTGGCAACCTTGTGATTATAGGCACACAGGCTTAGCCCACTGAGCCACACACTGAGAGTATATTGAGAGTATTTATAGAGTATATGTAACAATTCTTGAACATACATATGTATTCCTTGACTATTTTTTTTTAATTTGACTACTCATTCAGCCGATGTTATATAAATTGTTGAACCTCAACTAATAAGTTGCTGAAATGTTCAAAAATACTCTGTATACCCTCTGTAGGCGGAGTACCAGTGTTACTCAGATACTTAGTAGTAACTCAGTAACTACTGAAGTACAAATCAAGAACAAATATAATAGCTGTACTTGAGATGAATGGTGTGCCACGATTCATTAATGATGAACAAACATGAGATATCACATGTGTTATTCATTACTTGTTTCTTCAGTAGTTCCTTCATTAGTAAAGGTCTACAGAATTAACAGAAAGTAAGTTACGCCACGATTCAATAATGATGAACAAACGTGAGATCAGTATGTAACTAAGGCTTAGTCTATGGTTAATTAATACTTAAGCAAATGCATAATATGTTATTTGGGCCCCATCAAGTAAAGTATTACTGGGAGAAGACGTACAGGGTGCTTCTCTCAGTTACTGCACCATTATTCCTTGTGGTCCGGCACACACTGTCATTTGGTTTTTTAGTCTCCAGTGTTGTCTCCCTTAGGTTTAGATGAGTTACCCTCACATATATTATATTTTTCTGCACAAACCCAAGCTACAGCATGTATTTGTAAGGATGGAAATTATGTATATACACTCTGGGGCAATTTTAAGGTACACATAGACTGAAATGGGTATTTTTTTTGCCTCCAGAGCTGCTTCAAAGGCAGAGAGGCTGTGCATTCAAAAACGCCTTCCTGCCCACCAGTGTGGCACTGAGCTGTTATTATTGCACTTGTGGCCTTCTTGTTAGCTTTCACAAGTCTGCCCATTCTACTCTCACCTCTCTTATTAACAAGGTGATTTTGGCCACAGAAATTCCATTGACTGGATGCTTTTTGTTCAGTACATCGTCCTCTAGACACGGTATGCATGAAAGTTTCAGATGGCTGTTTGTGAGATGCTGGAGCCACCACATTTGACACCAACAGTCATACCACATTCAAAACTGCTTAAGTATCTTAGCTTATATGCTATATTGTGCACAATTACAAAATATCTTAACCCTATCTGCACGCCGTATATATTCAGTTATATCCACAGCACTCTGTGTTTGAAGGAGCAGGTTGTCTGTAGCGGCAGGTGAACCAAATAACCTGGCCACTGAATGCATATTAAAGGTATGCAGTATCTGAAATATAAGGAAATCATTTGCAAGTGTTAATGCTGCAGCAATTTTAGCACATTATTTTAAGTCTGTAATGTATGTCTATTACATTCTGTCACCAGGGAGTTTCGGGTTTGGACGACTACCAAGGTGTTTCTTTCATGCTTCGAGGCAAGAAAATTTTCTTTGAAAGGTCTCAGGTCATGTGGGAATAGTTTGGTGGATAGAGGGAACATATTATGGTAATTTCTTCTATTTCTGCATATAGAGCAAAGTGGATTTATTTTAAATCCCACAAATCACTGATCAAACAGAACTATTCCCTAATAAGAAAAGCTCGTTTTTACTTACAATTGTTAGTCTTAGTTCAATATGTAGTACAAGGTTTTTCAATACTATTTTCTTGATTAACAAAAAAAGGACTTCCCTATTAGCCCCCTTTGGTTAATTGTTATCATGATCAGAGTGTATTCTTACATTTCACAAATCAATTATGAATTACAGGGATGCTTCACAGTACTTCAGTAGTCATAAATCTTAGGAAAACAGTAACTGAGAACTGGAGAGTGTTGAATGAACGGCAGTCAGGCGCTGGTTTCACAGGATTGAGTGTGAATAGCACCAAAATTAGAACGTGCAATATGCTTTCTTCCGATGTGAGAATTAGAACGTAGCGTGTGGCATGCTGTCGGATTGGTTTGTGATAGGAACAATCCTGTTTACTGTGCATTATTATTTTACGATATTTGCAGTGAGAATTCACTTTTGTCTCCTGTTTTGTGTATTTTTGTAACGTGACAGCTAACAGTTGGAAAATTGAATTCAGCAGGCAACACTTTTAGGCATGGACACTATTAACATTATTATTGGGTCCATGCTTATGTCTGAAAAGTTCTGGGTTCAAATCCCACGACTGGAAAAGTAATAACATCACCCTTGAGCAAACCCTTAACCCCAACAGTTTCAGGTTTGTTCAATCATCGAGAAATAGTGCAGACATAACATGACCTAAAAATGATTTCCCCAAGGCATTTGCCCTTCAAACCAAGCTACAACAACCATGACTGATAAAACATGCATCAGTCAACTTTAATTTGAACCCTTTATAAGAAATGATCATGCCAGGTTATCACAAAGGGCTTCTCTCCATGGTCCAAGAACATGCTAAGGAGATTTGTAGTTGCCAAATTGTCCCCAGGTGTGAATGTTTGTGTGCCTGGTGATGGGTTGACACCCCTGTCTTGCACCTTTGGCTTTCTGCATAGCTTCTTGACCCCCATGACAATGGATGTATGGATGGATGGATGTTTGGGTGCAGACCTAACACGACGCATCTCTACCTGCAAGCCTAATGGGAGTGTCCTGCTTGTTGGATGCTCATCCTCAGCAGAAACTCAAAGGTTGCAGGGGAAACAAGGAATGTTGGCTGTGGAAATGTTAAGAGAATTACTGTAGGGAATTCTGTTTGAGTTTGATTAGAGGCTTGAAAGTATAGAGGGGTTTGTGTATTGTGTAAATATTTCTGTATTTTTCTAACATCATTCACATTATTTAAATTTATTTACATTAATTAATTTATTTATTTATCTGACACTTCTGTCCAAATGGTAAACAAAAAAAAAGAGGTAAAATATCAAGTAGAGGTCAAATCGCTATTGAAATATGATTAATCTTAAAAACTGGAATCTTACAAAACTATAGGCAAGCTTTAAATAATTTGTAGTGTATTATCAGCATTTATGCTAATTGTTAATACTGGTTTAATTACATCAGAGGGACCTTTCGTTGGTTTCTTTGGTTTATTGATGACACACAGCGTCTCGCCAAGACATCGGCTAAGCTGCTCTTGAAAGAACACCTATTTTAACTAATTTTAAACTGTATTTTTGATGTAGTTTTTTATGTCCATTTTATGTCTTATGACCATGTCTCAGTACATTGTGTTTAAACTGTGAGATTGTCAAAGTGTAAATGTTTATTAGATTCATATTTATATTCTGTTTATTACTGTTTCTTGCACTATGGCCACTGATTCTATCTTCTCAGTGTATGACTCATGGCTCTCATACACTGCCTGGCTAAAACAAATGTCACCGTTTGAATTTAAATCAGCAAGTACTTAAGAGCCAATGATTGGATCATTACTGCAGCTCAGGAATAAAGTGAAGTCAGCTGAGCACCTGAATCTACTGAATGGTCAGGTTATCCCATCAATGGATTTTTTCTTTCCTAATGGCATGGAGATATTCCAGGATGATTCATCAGGCTTGAATTGTCAAAGACTGGTTCAGGGAGCATGAGGAATCATTTTCATACATTGGCCACCAGAGTCTCAACCTTAACCCCAATGAAAGTCTTTGAGATGTGCTGATGAGTTCGACTCACCTATGATGAATACAAGATCTTGACGAAAAATTAATGCAAATCTGGATAAAAATATATTGTAAAAGCACGTGGAAACAATGCATTGACAAAAGGTGGTCCAACAAAATATTAAAGTGTGTGACTTTTTTTTGGCCAGAGAGTGTACTGTAGCTAAAGATGATAGTAAAGATACTTTGACTTTGACTTGACTCGTCTAGTCCACAGTCATGTGATATCATGGTAGATCTACCATGGAATGAGTAGATGGAATGAGAGTCAGCCTCTCCCTCTCCTCTGCCCTCAGGCGTGTACATCTTCGGCCTCTTCACCACGGACATCTTCGTGAACGCCGGCCAGGTGGTGACCGGCAACCTGGCTCCCCACTTCCTCACTGTGTGTAAGCCCAACTACACAGCGCTGGGGTGCCAGCACACGCTGCGATTCATCAGCCACCAGGAGGCCTGCACGGGCAGCGAGGAGGACATCCTCCGCGCGCGCAAGACCTTCCCCTCCAAGGAAGCCGCCCTGAGCGTCTACGCCGCTCTTTATCTCGCCGTGAGTAAGCCGGCCTTGCGATTCCCAGCCTCCCAAACTGTAAACACTTCAGAAACAGCAAAATCAGTCTTGACAAGAACCCCGGCCTGGATAAACCATATGGGCATTTGGGCCTGTGCCCAGGGGGGGCACCAAACAGAGCAACCCCCCATAATCCCTTCCCCCATGCTCCAATTCATGAATGTCTTTTAACAATTCAATGCAATATACAGGTATCGGTACAGGCATCCAGTAACATCCGATCGCATTTATGTCCGAGGTCCATAGTAAATAATATACACTGATAGATAGATGCCAGAATCCAGCACAGTAGTATGTTAGCGGGTGTATCGCTTAGTGTACCAGGTGCAGGAGAATGGGCAGCACTGCCGGCCGTATATTGACCGACTGCCCATAATTAATTGTAATACAGTTTGCATGCAGTAATGTCTATGTGATGGACAGCTACCATAAGCAGGTATGATGCAGATACAGTACCTGTACTGTGCTATTATAAAAAGAAACTTGTACAAGAAAACATTTCGTGCAGATTCTTCTTCTTCCCGTTGAAGCTGCTTCGTGCATCTTTTGATTTCGTAGTGCAGGTCGTGGCTTATTTAAGCGCAATCTGTTTTTATTATAAAGTGTTGTGATTTTGTATTTGCGTTGTTATTTGTTGTACAATACTGTCTTGTCTGTAGAAACGGCCAAATTGACTTGTGTTTGGTGGTCTAAAGTCTGCGGATACCTGTATGGTTCTTTTAATATGGCACTAACTGAAAAGCCTGTGTAAATTTTTCCCTGTATTATATGCAATTCTGAATTTCTTGACACCCATCTGCTGTGTTTGTTTCTGATGTGACGTCATCAGCACTGGGCACAGGGGCACTTAATACTCTTAATCCAGCTCTGTAAGTACTTACCTAATACCGACAGCTACGGTCAATCTTTTATATCTTCCTTTACTCTGTATACTCTGTGTGCTTTGCTGTTGCAGTTTTGTCAGCCTCCCTGCATGGTAATTACTTTATACCATTATAATTCATTGTCACACTATTATGTAAGCATAAAGAAACAAGAATTCAGTTTTTTCTTCAGGCAATTCATTCTGTTATTTTGTCAGCAGCAAATACCTACCTAAACTACGTTGCCGGAACCTCAGAGAGCATTTGATTGACTGTCTCCATCTCCATAGCATTCAGCGAAGGCGACGACATTTGCAGCTACCTTTATTGAACTCACGATGCACTCGGTCTGTCATTCAGCCAATAGGCTGCTGTGAACACAGTTTCCAAAATGGAAGAAAATTTTGGGCTGTGTGGCTTCCAGTGAAAAGATTTTTCGTCAGAGTCATCAGGGTCTTGCTGGGAATTTCCAGTTTGGAGCTATTTTTGAACATGAGTACAATGGCTGTTGGAGATGTTTGTTGCAGGATTCTAAGCTCAGTGCCCTTTTACATTTATTTAAACATTTTCCAGATCCCTTTACCATCAGAAATGGAAATTAAATGATACTTTATTCGCCATTCATACATGTATGAGTTCAGGTACGTCGGAAGGCTTCTTTTCACATAGCCCCTATTGCTCTCCTTTGAGATAATTACACACACACACACACACACACACTCACACACACACATATGACCCTTAATCTGGGATTAAGGGTCTTGCTCAGGGAGCAAATGGCATCAGTCGAACCCGCGACTTTTCGCAACTTGTTTTGGAACCCCGCAGATCTCTGGTTTGGAACACGAGGAGAAAGTAGGTTATTGCATCTCTGGAGATAATATCTGATATCAGAATTATCATTGAGATTTTCATATCAGTCACAATTGATCTAAAAGGCTCACATGCTTATGATAGTCTGAATAGAAGAAACCCGAATAATTTAACTACATAAGAAGAACAAAAGCAATTATTCTGTCTGCCTCATATCTGATTTCATCATTCCAATTTTAAGCTATTATTTTCAGCCGTGCCAAGATTTGCCAGCACTCTGGGAAAATACTCTTAACGTAGCTCTTCCAGAGGCTGCAGGATGGACTCTGTAGACGTGATTTTAGAAAGAGGACGAGAACTCCCACAGAGAATTTCCTGCTTCTGCGTCAGAGCCTCCCAGGGTTTTGTGCGTACTGAGTTCGTTGAGTTTGCACCCAGAAGCCAATATTTACATGCACTATTTAGTCTGATCAACTCGACAGATCGGGGTTTATGTAGGTCAGGCAGATCAGGCACTGCATTCAGCTAGTACTTTGTTAAGCAGGGATGTTAATTACGATCAGTGATGCTATTTTCCTCTTATCATGCACAACAGCATTACCTGCTTGACCTCATGATTAATATTTAAAAGTCTAATTGATGTCTAAAATGGTTGGGCAGGCAAAATGTACTATATAGTGTACCCTATATACAAAGTGTTTGAAGTATTACACAATAATAGTAAACAGAATGAAATGAATTCTATTTACTGTTTGTTTTTTGATCATATATTGATAATGAACAATTCAGTGCATCACAGTACCCAGACGACATCTGATTTCTTTTAAGCTAACATTGTTTGTGGTCTGCTGCAGAAATAAATGTTACATAAACATAGAGAATAATAAAGGCCTCAGGCCTTCAGGGTTGCTGCCCCTGCTCTGTTTTTTGTTCTGCTTATGTACATGCTTCCTGTCTAGCATTGGATTTTCTTGGATGTTCTGATTTACATCACAAAGACGTGGAAATTCACCCAAGTTGTCCGTAGTGTGCACATGTGTGTGTGCCCCGTGATAGCCTGTGCACATGTGTGTGTGCCCCGTGATAGCCTGTGCACATGTGTG